CACAATAATCAAATAACTTCGTGACTCCTAGGATTTCTTGAAATCGTATTTTTTCTCTTTCTCTTTCTCTTTCTCTTTCTCTTTCTCTTTCTCTTTCTCTTTCTCTTTCTCTTTCTCTTTCTCTTTCTCTTTCTCTTTCTCTCTCTCTCTCGCACTCAAGGGGCCACAAGGCGCATCCCGCATGGCCGTAAGAGACAGACAGACCCACGGGACGTCCCGCTCAGCTTGCAGCTGGCGTGTCTGCGCGTGGAGTCCGAGTCCGAGCTGCACAGTGCCGACAGTGCCTCAGTTCCACCACGCAGTTGACTCTGCGAGAGCTCGCCCGGCTCGCCAAAGCGCCCCGGGGAGATGCCCCCTCCATCCCGTGGCTGCGTGGCGAGGCTTGGCGTCGTGGGCGTTGCGTTACAGTGCGGGGGCGGACCGGGGACCAGGGACCTCCCAGGTGTGGGCGATACCGGGCGAGGACGAGTACCGACCCTAGCTTATCTCAGCGTGACGCCCAGAGGCTCTACGGTGGTGCTTTCCGTCTCTCTCGCACTCATGGGGACTGTTTGGAAGGAGCTTGCTGGCTGGGATTTGAAAGGGGGACGCACTTGCTGGCGATGTGGGCCTGTCGGCCTGTCTGCCCCCGATGCCGTGGCGACGCGGCGCTGCTGACGCAGATGGCGTCGGGGCGGCCTGTTCGGGCCTGCTGCGGGGCGGCCGGGGCGGCCGGGGCCAAGGGGTACTTGAGCCGCCATATTGCGTCTTCGGCGTGTCGCTGGGTGGCTGGTCCCTGGGGTGGGGTTCAAAGGAAAATACGGGTCGTCGTGGCGGGAGCCGCGGGAGTTGCCTCCTCAGCTGAAATGATCGACAACTGGCGCCCCCACCAAAAGTGACATTTCATCGACGTTGGGGCGTTCGTCGGCCACCTGGACGCCCCGGCGCCCGCGCTCCTGGTCCATCCGCGCTAGGCCACAACAGCCGGAACACTCGTGCTCTTCCCGCCGGACCACATCCGCCGCACCGTTTCGGGATTTCGGGACGGCCCCTCTTAAATTTTAAACTAATTCGTGTTGGTCTCGTTGGCGGCCGTGGGCGGCCCGCCCGGCTGCCTGCGTCTGCGAGCAGAATCTAATGAAGAGCGAACGCCTCTTGTCGTCGGGGGGAGCCGTTCGTGCCGGCCCTGCGCAAGGCCCTGCAGGACTCCTGTCTCTCTCGCACCTGCACGGCACGCCCCGTGAGTGCGAGAGAGACAGAGTGGAATCAACCCGCCAGCCCCTCCTCCGCCCACCGGACCACCGCTGAACCGCTGCCGTTGAAAAGGACGCCCACACTTTTTGCTCCACGGTGGCGGCGTGGCGGCGTGATGGGCACTTACGGCAGCGCCTCGCCGGCCGTCGGTAGGAAGGAGACCATGCAAGAGCATGCCAGGCCGGGAGGGCCAGTAGACTCATTCCGAGAGTCGTTTTCGTCGCTCTGTCTCTCTCGCACCCAAGGGGCCGTGGTATGGGTGCGAGAGAGACAGAGCGACGAAAACGACTCTCGGGATCAGTCTGCCGGCGAGCCTGGTGGGCCTGGCCTCTGGCCTTTTCCGGTGGCGCGGAAGCCGGCCCTTTAATGGGGCACCCACTTGACGCGTAATGGACGATTCGGGACGATTCGTTACCGAGCCATTACTGTGCCCTTGTTTGCCCCGCGGGCACGGCGTCGGGTACGGCGTCGGCGGCAACACGTCGGGCACCACGTCGGGCACCCCGTCGGGCACCCCGTCGGGCACCACGTCGGGCACCTCGTCGGGCACCCCGTCGGGCACCTCGTCGGGCACCTCGTCGGGCACTTCGTCGGGCACCTCGTCGGGCACCCCGTCGGGCACCCCGTCGGGCACCCCGTCGGGCACCACGTCGGGCACCACGTCGGGCACCACGTCGGGCACCTCGTCGGGCACCCCGTCGGGCACCTCGTTTGGGCTCCCCGTTGGTGTACACCGCTTCGGCACCCCTTGGGGCTCGGCGGGGCTCGGCGGGGCCCAGCACGTCGGTAGCGCGGGTCACTGGAACGGCAAGTTGGTTACTAAGGCGACGCTGCGACCTTGGAGCAGGCAAAGCAGGCAAGGGCAGCCAATCAGGTGGCCACTTTCGTCTTTCATCGGCATGAATAAAGAACAGCCCACGTGGCGGCCTGGACAGTGCGCTGTCTCTCTCACACTCGCGGGGCGTTCCGCAGGGGTGCGAGAGAGACAGAGCGACTGTTCGAAATGCAGTCCAAGGCCGCGCCGTCAGCGCATCCATTACCTGATGCTGTGTCCGGCCATCCCTGCCCCTTTGAGCACGCCACTGCCTGGCCATGCGGCCGCCGCGCTGGCCTTCGGGATCGATACGAGAGACAGAGAGAGAAAAAGGCAAAGAGAGACGGAGATTATGCCCGCCGTCCTCCGAGAGCGGACCGGGAACCCTGGGGGACTCCCCCACCCCTCTTGCCCTTTGCCCCGGTCGGGTCCATCATGCACATGGGCAATTAGTAACGGGACGGTGACGACCCTTTCACAACCCTCGTTTTTCTGCTGTTTCTGTTTTTATTTTACGTTTTTGGAGCACACCAATAAGTTTCAGTTTCACGAATCACTACTCGCGCCACTACGCCCGAGGTTATTGCTGGGGGCAAGGCGCCATAACTTCGGTTATGACTCGGTGCTGAGGCAGCGAAAGAGTGAACGCCCGAAAAAGGGGCAACAAGGTGAATCCCAACCCAGCACGCAGAGAAATAACTCCCTATCCGAAGAAACTATGGCAAAATGGCAACACGCATCGGTCAATAATGGGGCCGATTGTCGTGGGAAGTGGGCCGGGTAGGGGGCCGTGGGGTTGCTGAGCGCAAAAAAGAGAGAGCAAAGACAAAATCGATCAGTCGGCGGTTGAATGGCACTTTCCGAAAAGCCGCAAACCGCCGATGAATCTGCATGCTAATTTATAGCATCAGTAAAACCATTCCGTTTCGCTGATGGCTCCGAGGGGGTAACCACTCGCGTAATACCCTGTACACAAAAACCGTGTATTACGCGTAATACACGTGATCGTAATACCATTTTTGGGTCAAATGTGCCAAATTTGGGCATTTTAGGGCCGTAATACACGTGTAATACACCCGCAATACAGCGTAATACCGAGTAGTCTGTACACGATTTCTTGAAGTGTTTACGCCCTCGGATGGCTCCCCCACTGTTTAAAAATGAAATGGGAAAATCCCGACCTTCTTCGGAAATTTCCGGAGGCTTCGTGTTTCACAAGTTTTTCGTACCACACCTGCTGGAAACTCGTTTAAATTAGAAACATGAGAGGGTTTCGGAATTTTTCAAACATTCCCCCCCCCCAACAATTTATCCGGTAATTTCCAATATTTTTTTACCAGAGCGCGTTAGAACCGAATTTCTGGCGTTAGCCAACTTCCTCTCCGCGCTCCACGTCGGTCTGATTGGTGGGCCGCCCTGGCGCAGCCTGGGGCAGCATGCCGCCAGTGCTTGAACGCTTTGATCTCGTTATCCGCGCCGAAGAGGATCACTCCGTGGAGTGCCAAGGCGCCGAGGCGAAGGCAGGCGTCGTGTTTTGGCCGTCTTGGCGTCGAGGCGGCGCGGCGCTGCCCGACTGGCGCGCTGGCTCGGCGGCTGAGCTGGGGCGAGTTGAAGGAGTGGAGCGCCCGACGGCCGCGCGACGCCACCCGCCGTACGGCGCTGCGCGGCGGCGACGCTGGCGGCCTACCTCGCAGGCGCTCCGAGACGTGCTGGGAATGCGTGCCGCCGCCGCCGTGCCGCCCCAGAAAGTGGCTGGGTCGTTGGCGAGCCCGGACCCCGCACTTCCCCTAAGCGCCTTGAATTTCCTCAAACCCCCTGCAGCCGTTTCCAGGGCCGAGGAGGGGTTCTCGAAGCCACGTGGCCCTGGAGCCCTGGAGCCTTTGGGGCCTTGTAACTTTTTGGGTTCTTTCATCGCTTGGGGGCTCCGGGACTCCTGCAGCCCGCCTTCCCGGTCCATTCGCGGTGAACCCCCCGGGGTTCCGGTTGCGAGGCCTCGCTGAACCCCCTGGAGCCCGGAGCCCCCTGGGGCCCCCTGGAGCCCCCTGGAGCCCCCTGGAGCCCCCGCCAAGCCACCGCCAAGCCACCGCCACGCCACCGCCACGCCACGGCACCGCGTGCACGTCGGGAAGTAAACGAATCTAGAGAAGGCACGGGAGAAGAGCGACTGAGGCCCCGCGACGCGACGTCGCCAGACAACTTGAGAAAACAACTTCCTGAGCATGTTAAAGTGCCCTCCACCGAAATGACGCCCTTTTTCGCCCTCGTCGCGAAGCATCGCCGACTCGGGTCGGGCGGGCCAGACGGGCCGGGCAACAGGGAGGGGATTGTTGATCCGGGATGTTGGCCGGGATGGCTGCCTAATTGGATTAGCCCCGTCGCCCTGCCTGGCCCTGCTCGAGAGAGTGGCCGCCCGTACAACCAATTGCAGGGTCGGTGGCGCACCATGCCCGCCATGGCGGGGCCAGACAGACTGCCGCACCACGTCCGCGACACCCTAGTGGGCCCGACCCGAGGCCCGGGCCGTCGCCGTCGCTTTCGGCTTGCCCGGATGGCGGTAATGAAATGACGGGCCTTGATTGCCGCGTGGGACTCGGTGGCTCCAGACGCTCCAGACCTTGACTGGCACGCGGCCCGTTTTGACAGTCTCCTTTTATCATAGCGCCTGCCCTCCCTGCCATCCGGCCGCCTGCCCGCCCGCTCGGGCCCGGGCCGCCTCCACCAGCAAGGGCCGCGGGGGCGTGGCGCGGGGCGTGGGGCCGAGCGGCGAGGGGTAGAGGACGCGGTCGATGGCAGTGCTGCCCCGCAGGGCCCGCAGGGGGCTGGTGGTGGGGGCAGTTCGGGGGTGGCCCGGGGGAGGGGGACGGGCCAGGGCATCGGGCTGGAAGCGGTGTGGCGCGGGACAGCGGCAAAAGCCAGCCTTTGACCTGACCTCGTCAAACTGATTGTGTTGCAGGACCGCGGGCCCTGAGGGCAGGGCAGCATGGCGCCGCCGTTGGACCCCGTCGGGGTCCTGGTGCGCCACGTGCGTGACCTGGTGCGCCTGAAGCGCGCCCAGAAGGCGGAGGACGACGACGATGACGCCGTCGAGTCCACCGTGGCCACCGCCAAGGAGACCACGAAAGAGGCCGCCAAGTCGGTCGCCAAGCAGGTGAAGGAGGCCCTGTCCACGGTCGCAACGGCAGGTAAGTGGGAAGGGGTCGACACCTGTTCGAGTGAACGGGCGTTTGCGGCGTAGTGTCGCGTCTGCCCTGTCGCGCCGAGCCTCACGCTTCCTCGCTGTTGCAGCTGCGGGAGAGGGCCGAGGCACGACGGCCGGAGACGATGAGACCACGTCGTCGCCCACCAAAGGCGAGGTCGAGAAGGCCACCGTGATGGTGGACAAACTCGCCGAAGAAATGGGCATCCCCACCTGGGGTCTAGTAGCCATAGGTATTGGTGAGTGTCGCCTCTTCTGTATCGACGTCAACTAACGCAACCGAGAAACAGTGTCTGAGTGTCCTCTCGTTGCAGCTGTGCTGGTTGTTCTCGGAATATGCGGCTGCTGCATAAGACGCTGCTTCCGGAAGAGAAGGTCCAAAGACGGCAAGAAGGGCATGAAGGGCGGCGTGGACCTGAAGAGCGTGCAGTTACTAGGATCGGCCTACAAAGAGAGGGTGGGTGTACAGAGTGCGGATGGCCTCATACTGCGCTGCCCTAGATTGCTCTGAGCCTTCTAGGAACTGCCAGTGTTTGCCCGCCACCTCGCAACCCCATTGACTTTGCATCGTGCGACTGAGACATATTCCAGCGCGACACATTATACATTATTGCGCAGTTGATCATTGCATCGCTAGCTGCGTGCACGGCGCAGAGCCACGATATAATGTTCCCCTTGTGGCGGAAAACGCTACTAGCTTGTTTTTTGTTCTTCTTCGGTAGGCCACCTTTTGTGCACAATTAATGTCTAGAAAACACACATATTTTTTGCGCACATGTACCGATTTAAGTTCGTACCGTAACCCCTTGGAAACAAAACAAAATTGAGGCTGCATTTTAAATTAATCCTTAAGGCATGGATTCTAAAAATACGCGATAAAAGGCGACTCTTTTAATTTTAGTAGAAATTGGCGTCCATGCATGGATGCAGTTAGAATGCATAAAGGTTGAAGCTAAACATCCCCTTTCACTTTTACTCTCACAGTAGTACGATACGCATGCATTATTGTTAGCTCTGAAACATAGAGTAATTTGAACGACGACCCAATGAAAAGGATACCACTACAATCAGTTCTCACAGCAATAATGAAAAGAATTGATACGATGAATTCAGACATTGTGGCATTGTCTAACAAATAAGTCGAGAGGTATCCGTGGGTGCATGCGAGTGCGCCTGGGCGGTGCCCACACCACAATGGTTTTAAATCGTTGGAGCCTTCTTCACGGCAGGTGCAGCCTGATATGGAGGAGCTGACGGAGAACGCCGAGGAGGGTGGCGACGAGGCGGAAAGCAAGCACAGCGAAGTCAAACTCGGCAAGCTCCAGTTCAAGGTAAATAAACAAAAAAAAAAAAGGCCTCCAGGGCGCTGCAGTGATGTAGATTTTGTGATGGATCAACCCACACTCCCAAATCCTGTTTTTAGTTTTAAAAAAATGACAAAGAACACATTTGTTTTTTTTCCAACACAGTAACAAAAAAATACAAGAGACAAAAGTTTGATGTTAACAAGATTTTTCTTCGTTACAGCTGGAGTATGATTTCAATTCCAACAGTTTGTCGGTAACTGTAATACAAGCGGAGGAACTTCCTGCCCTAGATATGGGTGGTACTTCCGACCCCTACGTCAAGGTGTACCTCCTTCCGGACAAGAAAAAGAAGTTTGAGACCAAGGTCCACCGCAAAACGTTAAACCCCGTGTTTAACGAAACATTCGTGTTCAAGGTAAGGTCTTAAACCATGAGGCTCTTGAAAAGGAAGGGAAGCATTCTGTTAACTCGTATTGCATGGAATTCAAGTTTGAGACAATTAATTTATGTCACACGGCGTCTTGATGGTTCCTTATTTTGGATTAAAATAAACTATTTCCCTCCTTGCAGCAAGTTCCGTATGCAGATGCCATGAACAAGACCTTGGTGTTTGCTATCTTTGATTTTGATCGCTTCTCAAAACACGACCAGATTGGTGAAGTGAAGGTGCCTCTGTGCCAAGTGGATCTTGCACAGACTATCGAGGAGTGGAGAGAGTTGCAAGGAGTTGAGGGCGAGGGAGGTCAGGTAAGCAGGTGTATTTTGGGATCAGCACACTACTTTCCTGGTAAAAGGACCCACGTCCTCTCTGTGTTGGTTCCTAATTCACGTTTCACAGAAAGGATCCAAGGACAAAAAGGCACTGTCTCGTCGCAACAAATAATTTGGTTAAAATTATTTTTTGTGGCTTTATTTGATGTTGGGGGTTGGTGATATATTGATTTCTATTACGTATATAGCCTTTATCAGAGCAGAAATTAGACATTTTATAACGACATTGGTCATGGGCCACTTTTCAGCTCGGGGTCTATTTTTTCTCCTATCAACCTATTTTCTTTTATGTAACATCCTCCAAAATTGTCTTTTCAAACAAACGCCAGTAATAATTACTATGTCGCCCTTTGGAAAGTTAGAAGAGTCCTATAAGTCTAGTTAGAAAGTTGAAATAAGTAATTTTAACCACGTGTCTCCACTAGGAAAGTCCCTATAACACATTATGCCGTACTTGTTGGTATGGTTTTAGCAAATTATCTAAGTATTGTCATAAAATACCTAGGTAGTGATATTTTCCTTCTCCAGGTTGCTCTCTTACAGTAATTCTTTTCCATTATACATTAAATAAGTGATATAGTTGAGATCAAAGGGACATTGTTGAGTACATCGTAGGAAAAATATTATTAAGTGAGTCACATTAATACTCTTCATGGTTCTGGACTTACTGTATTAGTTTCCATTCTACGTAGGTCTAGTCTGTGTTCCTATTTTAAACATCATTGATATGATGCTATCAAAACTCCTACTTCTGAAAACTAGATTCCCATTATTTGTATCCATATCAACACAATTACATTGACCTGAGCTACATACAGTACGCAACCGTGACACCCAGTTCAAACATAATTGGCACTCCAGGTGAAAGTTCTTGTAATTACAATTTGTACACATGGTTCATGTTTTCAAGGTTGGCACGACAGTGCCCTTCTGGCAGGTTAGTAACGAGTACACATTCCGAGTTCTGTTTCTTATCTTCGCTCGTGATTCATGAAGTAGATTGGTTTTTTCCACTAGCAGGGTTGCCGTGATCACTTTTCGCCTAGAAATCACTTCGTTCACATTCGCTCAATTTTTTGTGCGACATGCCATTCATTTTCCACATATATCCGTTTTTTGTTCAAACTTTGGTGAGTCTTGTTTTTCACTCAGTATTTAGGACTTCCAGAAATTGGCACTAGGTAAGTGACCATTTACAACTTTGCCCACAAATACTGCTAGTATTTTTCATACTTTCTCATGTAACTAAGGAGCAAGATGGCTGTTAGTATTTTCTCCTGATTTTTTAGTTAAAACAAGATTATACTTATTAGTTGAGTGCCGGCCCACAATACTTGTACGTGCAAAAAAAAACATTCAGCTGACCTTTTACACGGAGGTTTGCTCACTTATCACAAGGACGATAAGATTTGCTTCTACAAATACAAAATTTCGTTTGAATTCTAACAATGTGCACCTTTCAAAAATGCTGCATTTTTATTAATCCCGCAAAACATGTGTCAACGATTCCCAAATTGGCGAGTTTATGCTACTGCAAATCGTTTGTAATAACAACGTTATGCAGCCCCTTTTGGAGCCTGAATGGTGCTTTCCGATTTACTATTGAAATTGGAAGGTTTTAAAACTTTAAAGCAATGGTTTTATGCAATGCCATTCAAATTATCAATTGCATAATTTTCAAATATTATTTTGCTGGAATTCAAACGACACACATGCATTAGATAGAATACATTGCTAGACCCCCGACAATAGACGCCATGCTCACTGAAAGTCAAAAAGAATGTGGCTCACACGAATGTGCTTTTCTTGCTGGGAAAGACGACGGACGGTTGCTTAAAATACGCTGTTTCGTGTAAAAATCTTCTTGAAACATCAAATGCTTTTGCAACACCATTTTTGACGGACTTTTCATAGCATAACTTTGGGCTTTCGTTTATTAGAACAAGATTCACGGCTCACAAATAAAAAATGTCCGTCATTGACATTCTAACATGAATCACCAGCGTTACCAGCTCCTCACGTTTACATTGGATACTATTTAAATGTGCATGATGAGAATGACAGTAAGATGAGTCTCTTAAAATTTGTTACGTTGAAGTATTTTATTTTTGCATGACAAGCCACACAGTTTTCATGGAAATGTGTACAGCATGCTCCAGAAAGTACTGCAATCATTAGGTTGAACATGATGCAGGTAAATGAAAACGGTCTCCAATTGGCAGGGGTGTGGCACAAAGTAGCTGTCTAATAAGGGGAAACTCAAGACAAGAGCAAGTCGCATGTTTTGAACCCTCCGCACGTGCTTGCCGAGGGACTATGGTGTACATATTTGCTTTGTTTCTTGTTCTTAGAAAAACAACAATAAATAGAATTTCTTTCCTAAATGCAAAGCACACATGGCAAGCTAGGATAATTCGGCAACGCATGAGCAGAGCATGACGCTACAGTCATGCGTTGCAAACACTGAATGTGAGATTCAGACACTTCCATCACAGTAAGAGGTATTTTATGTACAGCTTATTTTACTATTCCACTGTTTCTAACCATAGGGCAGAGGTGGTTGCGTACCCTTTCGTCACCGCATTTGACCTCTGGGGCAGGTTGTACACAAAGCTTAAGAGTTCTTTCCACAACCTTGTTTTTGTTTTAAATTCTAAAAGTAAATTGGTTTGTCGTAATCAAATAATGGTAACAAATTTTAAGGCCCACTCAACACATAATGTTTCTATGACACGGCACTCATTTTCCATTTTAATGGTTGTGTTTTACAATATTTATGTGGTAAGAGTCAAATTAGTGGCGGACACTAAAATAATATTAGCTGAATTTTATGTCGTTTTTTACACATTTAGCTTTGAATATTGTATCTTTTGTGTTCTACTTGTTGCATTTGACGGTTTTCTGTCTCAACAAATGATGCCTGGAATTCTTTTTGAAGTAAGATCGGAAAAATATGTAATATAATGTGTTAAGTTATGACTGGGTATAGTTTGGATAAGTGAAAACTAATGTTGTGAGCAGTTTATTTATGTTGTTTCTCCTTTTCTCTCTGTTTCTCTTGCCGATTTACCTCTGCTCTGCTTTTGGCCTATGTAAAATGGTTGTGCTCCGACTCAATGCATGCTGCTTCATACAAATATACACGTAAGTACTGGTTTCATACGGCGTGTGTCCGTCTTACACATGTGTGTCCGAAAAGAGCGATTTCATTGCAACATTCGACAGTTTGGAATACACGTGGCAATTCCTATTTATGCATTCTTATTGATTCGAATGACAGCCCCGATTATTTGTCGTAAACCTGTCGCGTCGTTACTTTTATGAAACCTCTCTTTTCTATTGACTTGATGTTGTTTTTGTCCGTGCGTGTTGTATATTTACCAAATGTAAATAAATGTATATTTATGCTTTTGTGGCATGTGCTGCCTGCTGTAGTTCTAGATCGGCTCCTTGACTAGAGGCTGTGCATGAATTAGATGCATGGCATGCTCCTCATTCCTATTGGATTGGCTCAACGAGAATAAAATTATTAAGATGAAAATTGGATTCGAAAAATATACTAACGTGAAGAGAATTGCACATTCTTTGAGCCATTCCTTTTATTCGTGAATGTCCTTGTATATGCACTGGTCTTTTCCGCAGCGATTGGCCGTCTCCATCGGCTGCACTTCTTCCGCTTCAGTGAACATCATGGAACGTCTTGTCAAGTTGTATCCGTCCTTTTGATTTGGCTTCTGCATTGTACTACAGACCTCAACACTATACAGTGGAGGAAGTTCCGAAGAAACATTAACATCAACAGAAATAAATAAGATTGGGAACACGAACACTTACGAACAAGGTGCCTTGGCACGGGATCAAACTTGTGATTCCAGAGCCTATGCCCTCGATTGCTCCACGCATGTGCAAGCGCGGGAGCAACTTTATCTTGTCTTTAGTGATAAAGTACTTTTGATGCGTTAAGTTTTGATCTTTGCATAATGAGTTATACTTTATCTGACTTTCCGGTCCATAAACGTTAAAACTCCAGTAAATATCTGTTAAAAATTTAAATTTCTCTGGCTTGTGTGCTTAGCTAGGGCGTCTATTTCTTAAATTGCAGTAATTTACTGTCGAGCTGGGGACACTCTTAACTCACACTTCGGAACTATTGCTGTTACCTCTTTTGTGGCATGTCCGTTGTTTATTGTCACCGTCTCTGTCTCTGCCTGTCTGTGCCACTCAGTGTTGTGTATTTGTTGCAGTGTTTTGACAAGCCCGCTGTCCTTAAGTATATCTGTCTGTGTCCATGTTGTATATATGTCGTTATCACTCATCACATAATACTCTGTTCATTATCATAATCGTGCGAATATTGTACACAGAATCCATATTACGTTGTTTGGTTTCCATCCACCATCAAAAACTTGCAATTTTTAACAAAAGATTTTGGGCTTTTTATTTAAAGCGTTAAATGAATGCTTCCATTAAGACTTTCCTATTCACCATTTTTACTGCCATTTACAATAAGCCCTCTTCATGTAAGTCTTAACTTTACGAAGAGTCAAGTTAATTTGAATGAAATTATGACTCAAAATGATTGGTGGTAAACCTAACGCTGTCAAAAAAGGAAGCGCACACGGTAGTCAATGATGCCCGTGAGTGTTGTAGTAAGTGTGTGCTTTCTATTTTGGTGGGTAATCATCGCCTCTTATAAAATCTGTCTCACAATAACAGACATAAAGCACTCTACATACAGGACACGTCGCGACACTTGTGAGTATGCCTTCTGTCAGTCTACCTGCCATAAATATAGATCCAACAAATAAAAATCCCATGTTTTGTTTTAAAATGACATTTGAAAACAATTAAGAGAAGATTAAAGCCGTAACGAGAATACAAATGCAAAAGTTACTCTGCTAAAAGAAACAAACATTTAAACTATACGCAAATATATTGACTTTATACAGACAAAACTAACACTAGCCATAGCAGTGTATTTCGTAGCTTAAGCGGCATATTATTGAATCTTTATTTTGTTTGTATTTTTAATTAGTAAAAGCCATGAGTGGTTTTGTTTGACCTTTGTTTGACCTGGGTGTTGTGGTGTGCATACTTGCGTATCAGTAGAAAATGGAGTGACCCCCAGTATCCCTGCCTTATAGTGGTGTTGTGCTGTCTAACATAACGACCAGACCAACACAAGCGATCCCTATCACTAACTTTGGCCCTTAATATATATGAAAGCTATTGTTGTGTATTTTCGGTGTTATAGAAACAATATTTAGAATATAGCAACCCAAGTAAAACGTGTGTCTTAGATAATGACCAAGCAGTATCTAGGAATTGTGTGCTTCACACACCTTCGTGATCACCCTATCCCGATGAGTTTGAAACCTAGTTACCTGCAGTAGAACTTGGTGATGTAGCATGTTAGTAACAACTAAGTGACCGTCCATGTGTACCTAAAAATGCTACTCGTAACGTTTTGATTAGAAAAGCCGAAGCGCGTTTTGTGTTAGAATCCCAAATCCTGTAGACTATATGTCTTCACTCCGCCCCCGCCGCGGTCGCCGCCTGCGCCGCTTATGAGAAAACCAGGCGAGCACAGCCACGGCACAGATGCATGCTACGCCATGACCAAAGTTTTCATTTGCGCGGCGGTTTGTCGTATTTTTAGGGGTGCTTTTCCTTTCCCGCTTAAAAATGTATAAATTGTATATCGCTTCGGACGGCCTAATCCTCCCGGTCGGGTTTTCTTGGTTCCACCGTCTCGTGAAATGCCGCCTGGCCGCGCCGAAAGTAGCTTTGTGTCTAGCCTGTCGTAGCGCTGGTTGTGTGCGTAGCAAGCGGTCACTTAGCGTACTAACATGCTGGCAAAGGGCGTTTGCAAGACACACGGTCCTCAAGGATTTTATTCCGAATGTGTACAGCCATATCTTCTTTCTATCGGGCAAACCACTGTGCTCATTTCTTTCCTGCCTCTAGGCTGCATAGCACAGAATGACAGTGAAATTTGTGACTGCCGATTTTCTTGGCTTTCAACTTGACATGTGGACGTGTCGTCTCAGTAAACTCCTTGTTCCCTCCGCCATTGAAAACCTTGTTACAAATAAGTTACCACAATTTAAGTGAGCCAGAGGTAGAAACCTTCGACACTTTTGTGGGATGACTAGGCGTAAATTAATAGCGAACTCACCTCCCTCATTTAAGTTTTCAGTTATGTGGTATCCAGAATCAGCAAAAAGCTAAAACGAAAAAAGTGTGAATTTGTATTCAATTTGGGCTTATTTTCCTATGAAGGAACTGCAAATAAACTTTTTGCTTATGATAAAGGTATCATCATGGCGGAGGTTTGAATAAAATTTTGAAATGAGATAGTGTACTGGGGCGCTTAAAGATGGAAACAATGGATTAGGACAGTAAAATGGATATGGGTTGCAAATAATTTATGTCTCAGATATTTGGGGTTCGTTTCAACACAGCTTTGTCAAAAATATACATGCATGATTCCACTTTTAAATGGGAAAAGTGTGTGAAACTGAGGGGGATTTTTAAATAAATATTCAAAGATTCCTGCTCTAAAGAATGACTTAAGGTTGCCTTGAATAACACTACGACCTGAAAATATGTTTAACACTGTTTTCTCTGCCCTGCTCTGGGATTCTGTAGGACAACAAGCTGGGAGACATCTGCTTCTCGCTTCGTTATGTTCCTACTGCTGGAAAACTTACCGTCGTCATTCTGGAAGCCAAAAACCTCAAGAAAATGGACGTCGGTGGTCTTTCGGGTACGGTTTTGGAAAACGTCACCAAGTCCGACGAGTAAGGGCAAATACTAACATAGGTACTTGTGTACTATGATGTTTGTGTTTCAGATCCCTACGTGAAAATCGCCCTCATGCAGAATGGAAAACGACTCAAAAAGAAGAAAACAAGTATTAAGAAGTGTACGCTCAATCCATACTACAATGAGTCGTTCACCTTTGAGGTTCCGTTTGAACAAATACAGGTTAGCAACCACCAGTTTTTTACCCCTATAAAAGAAACAGTTTACAGTACATCCCAGTGAAATCCAGATACACTCTACCTTCTAAGCACACTTTCTTTTACAGAACCCGGTAAGAAAACCTTTGTCACAATATGTCGATCCCATATCGATCCTTGAATGTCTCTTTTATGTCGATATCGATCGTTGATTCGACTCGGCAGTGACACGGAAATCAACATTTCCTTTTGTCGAAAATACACCGATTAGGTGTCGATTCGACCTTTTTTTCCTGAGAGTACTAAACGTACCAGTGTAACATTTCTGGCATGGAATAAGTAAAACTTGGCATAGAAAGTATCATCAAGCCATAAGGCACACACGCACTGCTGCGGGGATGGCGGTGGACTTTGGACCACTTAGAATCATTCAGACGAGCTGCCCGATTAGCGACACGAAAGTTGAAACACTCGAGCATGTTGGTAGATTTCGACGCAGGATGGATTTACCCTCTATGCATCGTTAGTAATCGCCAGAACGGTGCGTCACCTTGTTGCGCCACTGTCTCTAGGCGGGCAGCTCTAACAGCGCAAAGGTTTTCAATGTCACAGACGTCGAAACCCGTAGATTGCTTTGATCACGACAGGGTAGTGACATGTGGGACATCGTTTTGACATCCAGTCGACATTAGGCCTTTAATCGGGAACCGTAGCTCTTAGGCACACTTTGTTTCAACAGCTTTTCTTTTTTGCACGAGTAGTGTATTTTCAATTTACCCCCTGCTTTTCTATACAGAAGATTAATGCGGTTTGTTGGTATTTGCAGAAAGTTCAGCTGGTCGTGACTGTTGTTGACTACGATCGTATCGGTACTTCGGAACCCATCGGAAAGGCAGTCCTTGGGTACAACGCGTCAGGCACGGAGCTTCGCCACTGGACGGACATGCTGGCCTCTCCGCGCAGGCCGATCGCACAGTGGCACACGCTCAAGGACCCCGATGATGGCGACAAAAAGGATTAAAGCCCCTTTCATTCAGTGAGTAAACTTTATCAAATCGCATTAAATTAAAAAAATACTGAGTTTACTAGAATGAAGAAACCAGCTTTTATTTCTGAAGGAGAGCAAAGGACATTGTGCCCAGATGAGAAAAAACGGCATTTTTCTGCTGTTCATGAATATTGTTACAAGAATTTGCTGTTTTTCTATAGGTGGCTCACGGGACATGCAGCTATGCCAGCCGCCCCCCGACCACCCCTTCTTCCATTGGGTGTACATGAGCTTCATCTGACAGCACTGGTGCCGGTCCAGCCTCGCTTGGTGACTTCTGAAAATTTACTAGCCCCAACTATAATGACGTATCTACTGTACCAAATGTATCTTTGTGGCTTTGAAGAGGCGTGTTCTTCTCATTTGTTCCCCAAATTTTGCCGCCAGTTATTTTGAGTGTGTACTCATTTCCAGTGTTTAAGTGTTATAAATGAATTTCGTCGTATATACTTTACCATAATCAGTATTGTATTCGATAGCTCTGGAGAGAGGTATCGGGCCAACACCGGTCCAGGACAGGATTTGAGGGACTAAGAGCTAGTTTGAAGGATTAAGTTTGGTAACGATCTTGAGGCCGGCTGGAGTTAGAATGTGCACGAGAAGCCTTAAAGTACCATATACTAATGTGTTATTGTAAAAAAGATAAATATGAAAGGGCTGAATTCATTTTGGCTCTAAGGTTTTCATGATCCTTCCATTATTCCGCCTACTGGATGAATGATAATTTTATGTTCTGTTCACGCTTGAAAAAGAAAAACTGTGTTTCACTAAAATAAAACGCTTTTTAGAAGCAAGGGTACGTACAATCATAAAAGTCATTCATTCTGTGGACAAAACAGAGCCAAGTTGCATTCAGCCCAAAATTTGACGCACTAAAGCAAATCTATAACATTGTTTAATTTTGTTGTTGAAGTTAAAGATATGTATATTCAAAAATTAAAAAAGAGCTCCTCTTGTCATATAATTCATATCATATTTTAAAGAAATATTGTGATTTCTTATTGAGGAGGCACCACGATCACTAAATAGAGTAGATAAAGGTAATAGAACATCAACGAATGCTATTTTTAAGAAATGCTTGACAATATAGTTAAGGGCAGTCTGTGCTACCCGATTAGCTGTTGACTGTCTGATTGTATTTACCATAACAATGTTCACTTGTTTCATTCTCGTCAAAATAACCCATACTATTTGTGATGGCCACGTAATGTAGTCACGTTCTGTGTAAAATACTTCCAGTGAAACTGCCCACTCAACTCGTGTATCTCGTTCAAGCATGTTTTGGCCAGGTTCGCTTGTTGGATGCGACTATAATAGACAATAGTTTAGATGTTAGAAGACGTTAACGGCTCTGGAGACCGAGTGAGAGGGGTGTGATTGTGTGTGAAAGAGCGAGAGCGTACCTTGACAGTTTTTCTTCAGAAAATGTTCTGTCATGAATTAAAATTCTTCCTCGTTACCATTATCAAGAGGTTACCGTCGCCAAATCGAGCGCCGATAACTTGAATTGTAAATAGCTTTATGTACTGATGGGCACTCAATAGACTGCTTTTGATCTAACAGCGGCACGAACACATACCACATTCTCGTACTTGGCATGTTTGGGCCTAAGCCCAGAGGTGCTTTATATGGGATCTAAATTACCTTGACATTTAGTGTACTAATAGCGCAAATGTTAATGTTTACTGTACTTGAAGGCCAAAAAATTGATTTTAAAAATGTATAAAAAAATATAAAATACAGAATCTGATCTAATGCAGGGTGTTTTCAAAATCCCTTGCAGATTTTTAATGAGAGTGTAAAGGAACTTACTGTATACATAAATGGATAAAAGAGTTGCTTTGGGGAAAGTTGTGACTCGCGGTGCGCCTTTGTCACGTTATGCCACGAGACTGTCTGTAGCCTCGTCCTAGCACACAGGCATCGCTTATCGATACGTTCATGGTAATATATTTTTCGTGGAATCGTGTCAGATCCTTAGATTATTGTTCTCAAGTACATTATGATAAACTATAGCCCCAATCCCATAATTTCCTCTTTGTAATTAATATTTAATGTCTGTGTAGAGTCCAATTTAAGAGGAGTTAGTTGCACTCTTGATATGTAAGTAAGCAACTGCCGTCTCAACCGTTTATTGTAAAAAATAATTGAAAGTCGTTGTCGCTTTGAGTTTGCGCAGTCACCTCCCCGAAGCCTTATTAAGTCAGAGGCTGGACCCGCGACGGATTAAGCAATTTACATTATTTCTGCAAAACACTTTTCATGCATAATATTTTGCTCACCTCGCCATTTTGGTAGCAAGCTCGGAAGTTCTGCCAACTTTTGCGTAATGTAATAATCCTTAAGGCCCGTTTAAACTATTCTGATTTAACTTCGTTTTTCTTGACTTCACTAGATATGCGGCAAAAAAGTTCGCTGTCTCAACGAACGAAGATAATGCGTGTGCAAGTAGCTGTAAATGACCCCTTTTGTTTATTCAGCCTTAAAGTATTTTTCCTTTACCCCTTTCAGATTACCTCAAAATTATATTGTATATACGTTAGATATGCATGAATTGTATAAAAACTTACGATGAACATATTAGAATAGCTATTTAAGTGGGTGACATATAGAGTGTGACGTTGTGTTTGTTGGTAATTCACAAAAAAGCATTAGAGAGTTCCGCATAATCCTATTGGTTTAAACTAATTTTTGTTATTTGGAGATCAATAATGTTATTCTTGAAGTAGATTTGTGATTGGAAATGTGAACACGTAACAGGAATAAACTGACTCCATACTTGTAGCACTGCGTTTAATTTTTCCCGAGACGTCTTCACAGTAAATGTCTTACGGTGAAAGGCTGCACCAACATAATATGGTAGAGATTTTCTCCATAATACCAACGAAATTCTTAAAAATCTCTATAAGGTACAGTGAATTCTTAATGGTATGTTACGAAGTCAGCTGCACCACCATAATATGGAACATTTTCACCATAATATGGAGAATCTTCACTGTACAACATTTAGAGTGTTGAGCAAGAATTAAATCCTGACGTGCGAAAAACTGAAACAGGCACTTTCTTGAAATGAAAAAGAATTAGCCAACAATCTGAGAGACAGACGCTTCCGCCGCGACTGCCTGACAAACGCGGCTGCTCGGGCTGTCTTGCCTGCACGTCGGTGAGACTCTGCGGCTCCGCTGCGCACACCCGGTCACTTTCCACTGATCTGACAACCGAGAGTCGTGTTTCGTGCACGTCGGTCCGCTCATGCGGTGCGTCCCTGTAAGATGCGGAGTCGTACGTAGCACGAAATGGCTCCCTTTGCGAACATCAGTCTGCCGGCCGCAGGACCCAGGTCGCGGGAGAGGCCGCCGCTGTTGGGCAGGTCACGGCGCTTGTCACGGCGGCACCCGTTTGCCGCAGTTGGCGTTGCACACACACAGTGTGCCACGCAGCGTGCCACACACGCGGACGACGACGCGGCGGAGATGACGAGGAGCTCGACCGTCTTCTCTGGCGCGTTTCCAGGCGTCTCGGCGCCTCGCTTGCAGGCTTGCAGGTAATGGGCGCGCGCGCCTCCAGGGATGCCGTCTACGCCTCGTTCTTCGCCTCGTTCTACGCCGTGGTGCACGTGACTGGAGTCAAGTACGCCGCGGCGGTGGGGCCGGGCAGGGCCGGCCAGGGCAGCCCTTTCATTGCGCGCGGTGTGAATGAGTCGAGCGGTTCCTTCCTTCGACACAGCCATAAACTTGGCGCAATGGAGGTTCGGCGCGCCAGCATGCCGGCCCGACTCCAAGGCCCGCTCCGGGCCCCAGGCGTGTCACCGAATGTGCAGTCTGCAGTCAGTGTGGGAGGCGCGTGGACCCGCAACGGCTGGCCGGTGACCCCGATCTCTTCCAAGATGCAGCGCCCGGCCCGGGGCCCGGCCCTCTCGGAGGACACACTCCTCACGCCCGCAGAGCCGCACGCCGAACTCTGTCTCTCTCGCACCCTAGCCGCTCGCCTCATGAGTGCGAGAGAGACAGAGCGACGAATCGGCCTGCAGCTCGGCCTACAGTGCAGGTGCGGCCCTGCGCTGCACTCGAAGTTAGTCCGCCGCGGCTGTACCATGGCTATGCCAACACGGCAAGATTAATACGCCGCAGCCGTGCAGCCAGCCAACACACACACTGCAGGAAACTGGTCCTACAATGGCGGCACGCCGCGGCACGCTCCCAGAGCAGCAGCAAGCAGCATAGCGAGCTCCCTTCCTTCAAACTCGCCGCACGACGACGGTTTGAATTATCCACGCACACACACGCACACACACACACACGCTGACACGTAGGTCAACACGGCGTGTTTGAAAAACGACACGCGGTGGCTCCATAGAGGTCACGCCACCGTGCGCCACCGCGGTGCCGCACTAGACCAGCTACTCGAAAAAAAAGCAGCTCCCCTTTGCTTCTCACCCCCGGCGGAGACGCCGCTGACGCTGGGCGTGGGTTCGACTCCGGCCGGCGGGTCGCCGTCGTTTCCGGCTGGAGGCGGCTAGGCCTGGCTAGGCCTGGGAGAAGCCGTGAGCCAGGTGGAGCAAGGTTGCGTTTGGCCAGTGTGCAGGCTGGCGAGGCGAGGCGCTGGCCAGGCGCTCCCATGCGGACAGCGAGGAGCAGCCAGGATTGCCCTTGGTCGAGCACTCGACGAGGAAGACCAGCGCGCAGCCCGGCGCAGCCCGGCGCAGCCCATTCAAGCGGAAAGGATAAGAATGCGCGGAGCTCACACGGCGTGGACGTGCGGACGCACGTACGTCGCACACGCAGACAGGAGGACGGACAAACAGACAGACAGACAGACAGACAGACAGACAGACAGACAGACAAACAGACGGGCAGGCAGACAGACAGGGTGCTTTTCATTTTCAGTGAAGCGCGGCGCCTGTCGGAGCACTCACGGAAAAATTCCGCGCGCTGACGGCGCAGGCAGGCGGGTGGCGCCCCGCGTGGCCCTGCAGTGTGCAGTGTCAATGAGTGTGCAGTGACTGCGCCGTGTGTGTGTGTGTGTGTGTGTGTGTGCGCGCGTGCGTGCGTGCGCGCGTGCGCAAGCACTGCCGCGGTAGTCCGCGCACTGCTAAACGACTGACGCTACTCGTGTGTACTCGGAGAACACACGACACTCTTAATCCGGATCGTGGACGCCGAGGGCCGGGCCGGGTGCACCCTGCGCTGCGTCGCTGCTCCGCTCCAAGTGTCATTAGCAGCCTCATCTGGACGCGCTTCCCTTCGTTGCGTCGAGGATGGGACGCCGATAGCCCTGCAGTCCCTGCAGCAGGTAGGCCCGACGGCGAGCCCGACGCGGTGCCCGCCAAGGCCAGAGAGTTCAGCTTACAGTGCCGTGTATCGGCGCGGCCCGCCCGCTCGCCCGCTCGGCTGCAGTCACGACTTGCAGGCTCACTCCGAACAGTGCTTTCGTCGCTCTGTCTCTCTCGCTCGCTGTCTAAGGGCGTTCTGGAGAGAGAGAGAGAGAGAGAGAGAGAGAGAGAGAGAGAGAGAGAGAGAGAGAGAGAGAGAGAGAGAGAGAAGGGGGGGAGTCTCATCCTTGGTCCCGCAGGACGCCCTCGCAGCCCAAATGGAGCCGCGTGCACCTTTTGGCGCCTTTCGGCTAGTCCGGCGGCGCGGCGTGGCGGCGTGGCGGGGCGACCTTGGCACTTGCTAGTGTATCGGTCAGCGAGGCAGCGTGGCGGCGGGGCACGGTCAGGCAGTAGGCAGGCAGCCCGGACTCGCCCGTCCGGTTTCCTCTGCGCGCCTTGCCGCCTTGCCGCCTTGCCGCCGCGACACCATGCGGTTCCTCAGGGCTTTCACTCTCATCGGCACACGCCAGCACCGCCAGCCCCGCCAGCCGACTCATTCCGAGAGTCATTTTGCGTCGCTCTGCCTCTCTCGCACCTACGCGCGACGCCGCAAGAGTGCGAGAGAGAGAGAGCGACGAAAACGACTCTCAGCCCGCTGCAGCGCGATGAGGAAGAAGAGCGGAGTGGCAGACGTGGGCCCCATTGCCTTATTACCAGCTGTAATCGAATGGCTGCCATCATCCATCCCGAGGCGTCGCCGCGTCGCCGCGTCGCAGCGCTGTAAAAATGCTCGGAGTCACTCTCCGGCTTGCTGCTACACTGCGAAGAAACGGAATCTAACCCTTCTCGCTCACAGTGCCGTGACCCGCGTGCGGCGACCGCGTGGTGCGGACGACGACGACAGCTGTCCGAGACATGGAGAAGCAGCAGTGGACTTGTTGGACTTGTTGGAAGACAGTGGGCGACTATGTCGCTCTTGTCCACCTTCAGAGTCGGCGGCGTCAGCGGGCGCACGGCGCGACGCACACGCGCGCGCGCGCGCGCACACACACACACACACACACACACACACACACACACTCGCCGTCTCTGTCGCACAGGAACGCGGACACGCGTGGAGGGGTGTTTGGCGAAACGCAATCAGCCTTGATCCCGTTCATCTAGCGTGGACACGTGCTCTCGAGGGTACACAGTGCGCAGACACACACGACACGGGTGCAGCGCGGTGCAGCGCCACTGCATATACACGTGATGCGTGCGCGTGTGTGCTCAAGCCGTTAGGCGGACTCCCGCCAAAGCCGCCGGCGACCCGCCTCGTTTCGGTGGATGGTGTCGCCAAATGCCGGACTGGCGTTCACCTTGGCGGCCTCCAGGACGACCCGGACGGGGGCCCGGACCACGCCGGCGTCGCGTAGCGTCGCCCCGACGGGGCCGCTCTGCCGCGTCTGCGAGACCGGATTTTAACGGGAGTGTCTCCGCGCCGCGCCGCGCCGCCGCGGTGACGGCCGTCTTGGTGGGTCGGAGGACAGTGGAGGCCGGAGGAGGGTCCGAGGATGCACGCCGACCTGCGACCTCTCCGCGCCGCGCGCCACTCATAGGGTATAGTTCAGGGCCGCGGCGGCGCTGGCGCGCGGCGTACTCGGGGCTACACTTCGGCACGTCCACGCCACTGCCACCGCCGCTGCTGCACGCCGAGGAGGTGCGGCGCGCCGCGCGCCTCAGACCTTGCCGCGTCACGCCGGATTCGAAAACCTTGCGCGCCAAGTTCATCGACTCGGCCACGAATCCAGCGCCGCGCCACTCCCACACTCCCACACACCGACTACTGCCGAAGCATGAGCGGCAACCTCCCCCGGCAGTGACTCGGTGCCTCGTCACAATGGCCGAAACACGGAAACTGCTCCAGGCTGTGGCGGGCCGGACGGCCGCCGATCATGTGTGGTCCAGCCCTTAGTGGTAATGGTAATGGCAGGGGCGGGGTAGGCAGCCCCGCCGCGCTGCGCCGCGCTACTGCGCTCCGGCTGCCTTCCTGCCGGGCGGTCCACCGGGCGATCCCGCTGTCGTCGCTCTGTCTCTCTCGCACACCAACAGGACGCTCCGCGGGTGCGACAGAGACAGAGCGACGGGGCGGCTCTGCGGAGCGAGTCTGCACTGCAGCTCGGCGACGTGACGCTGCGTCGCGCAGCAGCTAATTTGGCGCCAAAACGACGCGCATTACCGCAGAGCGCGCGGAGCGGCGACTGCCACTTGCCGTGCGCGTGCTCCGTCTCTCTCCCGCCGTGCGTGACGCGCAGTGAGTGCGAGAGAGACGCAGCCACGCCGCCTTGATGATCGATCCGTACCGCGTCGCCGTGCCACGCCGTGCCACGCCTCCGCAGCACGCCGCGAGTGCAGGCCTGTCCCCAGGCTCGCGCACTTTACGTGCCGAAGCGGCGCACTTTCGATTGGCATCGGCAGAAATAGAAGCGCGGCACTCTCGTCATGAAAAGAGTAGGGACGGCGGCAGCCTCGCCGCGGAGGGAAGAGAAAGAAAAGAAGAGGGAAAGACCAAAAATGAAGCTAAAACGCGGTATAATTGCAGTTGCCGTGTCAGGCTGCTGCGCTGAGGCCAAAGGCCAAAATCGTGGCCTCCCCCTTCTCGCCCCCTCCCCTCTCTCCGCGTCTCTTCGCGTCCCCCTAGGGCCGCCTGCATGCCGTCAGCGTGCCAAGGCAGTCTGGGTGGAACGCTGTGCGGAGGCATCCTCCGGCAGCGGACACACACACACACACACACACACACACACACACACACACACACACACACACACACACACACACACACACACACACACGCCGCGCCACGCCGTTTCCCATCAGTCCGTTCCGTTCATCATCGCGGACCTCGATGCCGCCGGTCCGGGAGTCCGGCAGGGCGGCCGTCGAGGTGATGCCGCGTGTCGCGTCGTCGGTGGCGTCATTTTTTTCGCCCGACTCCAACAACATCCACACAGAATAGTGGCAGCGGGCAGTAAAACGACAAGGCTGGGCCGCCGGCCGGCGCCGCTACCGGGCCTCGCAGTGCTCGCCGCGGCCTGTTGTCGGCTTCGGCCGGCTTCGGCGCCGATACTTCGCAGGCGTCCCTGAAGGCATGCGCTGCATGGCGCACTGGGCTGATTCCAAGCAGTGCTCTCGCCTCCCCTGCGCGTGCGAGAGAGACGGAGAGAAAGCACTGTAAGCCGGCGGCAGAGCGCCTGCGAAACGGCGGGTAGGCAACCCGGCGACGCACGTGTGTTGCACGCCAGGCCCTGGCCTACCTCGCAGGCGCTCTGCGGTCCGGAGAGCGCTGCATGCGGCCGCGACCGCACAGTGGGCCAGAAGACCGGGGGGAGCTGGCCAAAACTCTAGACGCATTTTGAGCCCCAGAGTCGCTACATGGGCCTCGAACCGAACGTGTGACCCCATCAATGGATTGCTCTTCGAACGAGGAATCCATGGATGGGGTCACACGTTTGGTTCGAGTCCTGTCTAGCGACTCTGGAGCTAAACACGTGTCTAGAGCTTTGGCCAGCTCCACCGGTCTTCTGGCCCACTGTGGACCGGCCGCTGGACGCACTGCTGGCGATGGACATCCATCCTGTCCGGATTTGATCTCCCTCCCCTCCCTCCACTCCCCAGAGTCCGTCGCGAGTCCGCGACCGCAGCGTGCGACCTTGCGCCTTGCGGCCGGTGTCCATGGACCCAGAGCCGTTCCCCGCGGCGGCGGGCCGGGCAGGCCGGGCAGGCCGTGTGCGGTGCAGGACCAGAGAGAGAGGGGGGGGAGGGGGGAGGAAAGTGCAAGTCGGCGAGGCGGCTGGAGCGGCTGGAGCGGCCGGAGGCTCCATGGAGGTGGCGTGGGTGCGGGGCGAGGTCGCCGGGCGGGGCCGTCAGGTCGACTCGGCGTCGGTCCATCCAGTGCGTCATCCCGAACAGCGTGCGTCGTCGCTCTGTCTCTCTCGCACGCGAAACGTTCCATTGGCGCGCGACAGAGAGAGACGGAGCAACGAATAGCATCACTCGGAATCAAACGGGCAGAGCGCGGTCCGTGTTTCCGAGTCAATGTTTCCCCTCCGGAGGCGCACAGTGTACCACTCACTTTCCTGCAGTGTCTTGCCGATTTTGTGTCTGTTTTTCCGGCATTGAATCGCTTGCCGACGCGCGCGTCTCGCGAAAACCATCACCTCGTCCCGCCGTGCCGCCAGCGCTGCATGCGAAGGGGGCCATCACCGAGAGGGGACCGAAGACTCTGATTCCGAGAGTCGTGTTCGTCGCTCTGTCTCTCTCGCACCCGTATGGGGCGCCCCGTGCGTGCGAGGGAGACAGAGCGACGACTCTCGGAATGAGTCTGCTGCTCGCGACGGCTACTTGCGGCGCGCGTTCGGATTCCTGCTCGTCCGCATCAGTATGCCCCGAGGTGGCCGTGTACTCCCCGCGTCTCCGTGTACTGCGTGTTCTGCGTGTGCCCGGCTCACTCCGCCGATGACTCGCCCGGGGAAGCCCGTCCCGACGAGTACCTATGGAGACGAAGAAGCAGCGCAGCCGGGCCGAGCCGGGCGGACGGCGTCCCTTTGAAGGGTCCTTCCGAGTTCCCACCACCAAAACCATTGCAGCTACATATTCGGATTGAGATGAAACCAAATAGCCGTTCATTCCCGCAGTTCCGACGAAGTTTGCGTGCGTGGCGAAGGCGGAGGCAGACAGCATCACAATCCCGCCGCAGCAGCACTGGTTTGCCTAGCCAGACAGTCTCAGTACTGGCTCGGTACTGTCGCGCGGAACACCTGCTCAAAATATGCGTAGTTCCCCGGCGTGGGAACGTGCGAGAGAGACGGAAGGTCAGGCGCGCCGATCCTGCCGCAGACGCGTGGGTGCGAGAGAGACAGAGCCAGACACGGATTCACCTGCAAACGCGTGTGTGCGCGCTCGTCGTCACGAATATTGAAGCGCGCCCCGACCCGGCGACGGCGTGCCGACAACCTGCCTGTGTGAGTGTGTGAGTGTGTGAGTGTGTGAGTGTGTGAGTGTGCCGTGTGCGTGCGCGCGTGCAGCGGCAGGAAACACACGGTCTATTGAAAATTTAATGTGCGCGTGCAGCGAGCCGCGTGCGCCGCGGGGTCTCGGCTCGCTCGCCCCGCACGTATTTGCCGACGAACGCGAACACCAATAATGCATGTTCGTTCGGCGGTGCGCGCGAGCCGCTGGGTTATGATTGCAAACTTTGGCGAATTGGAATGGCGTTTGCTGGGTCAAGAGAGTGGACGGCAGAGAGGGAAAAGAAATGTCTCGGCGTGATTGGGACGGCGGCGGCAACGCGGTGCGGTCGGTCCGTCGGTCCGTCGGTCGGTCTCGGCTAGCGTTGCTGGCGTTGCGTTGTGCCGCGCGGTGCTCCGCTGTCCCGTGTATTCAAATGAGACCCGAAGGAGCACGAGCGCGGCGCCGCCCGCAAAGATACATTGCCCAACCCAAGTCGCGCGTACTCCCGCTCCCGAACAATACTTTCTTCCTGTTTAAGTTCGAGGACCTGCTCCTCCTCCTCCTGCTCCTCCGGAGATGGCTCGTCCTTCCCCTACACTGCGAGCGCGCGCGCGGCGCAGGGCGTTGCGACAGACTTTATGGCTTGACTTTTTCTCGGTGCTATACGGGTCGCGAAACATCGGAACCGTCGCCGTCGTCGCAGCTATGCCCGGCTTCGTCTGTCTCTCTCGCACTCATGGAGCGCCTCGCGCGGGTGCGAGAGAGACAGAGCAGCGAAACGACCCCTCAGCAAGTCGAGCACGTCGTGACGTCGCGTCCCCGCGGCACGCATCGCACTCATCAGCATTGCGGGCTTTTACTGCGCGGCGGCCCTCTGGACCGAAGACGTCGAAGACCGAAGCGAACCGCCCGGGGGCCCGGCCCTTGCCCCGGCCCGGGGCGCCGGGACTCCATAAAGCGGGCACTAACGGCCGGGAGGATTATTGAACTCGGGGCGCCTGTTGCGTAGCTTGCGTCTAGCTCGCCTAGCTCGCCTAGCTTGCGTAGCAGTGCGGTTGACAGGTGGTGTCTCGCTGCGGTCGCTCGGAGGTCAAATGGTTGGCCTCTCGCGACACTATCCAGCGCCTGTCTAGTCTGTCTGGCCGGCTGTCCGCGTGTCTGTCTGAGCGTCCGTCTGGCTGTCTGTGTAGCTGGCTGCTAGGTGGCTGTTGGCTGGCTGCCCCCCTCTGGCGGTGCACGAATTCGCGGCATCCGGAGGGGAAGGAGGGGAAGAAGAGGCTCGAGAAGGGGTCGGCGGAAGAGGGGCGAGGACGAGGAAGGCGACGGCCACCCCGCGCGACAACCCGACAGCCCCCTCCTGGGGACTGGCCGCCGTCACGTCGATACCTCCTAGCAACAGACACGTACTTCGGACACGCTTCTCAAACTCACGTACTTTGGGCAGCTTGTGCAACAAACACCAGTTTCGCCATTCTAGTCAAAAGCACGCAGTTTCCGCATTTTCGTCCTGGCGGGCACGGAAATGCATTTTGGGGTATTTTCATGGTGGGCTAGTGAGGTACAGTCACTAAGTCACCATTAATAACGTCAAAACGGTTTCAGGAGTGATCTGCATTGAATATTACGGAAGTTTGGAGGTAAAGGTGGTATATTTAACGACAGATCGTTCCTGACCCCGTTGTCAGGTTATCAATGGTGACTTAGTGACTGCACCTCACTAGCACACCATGAAATTTACCCAAAATGTATTTCCGTGCCCGCGAGGACGAAAATGCGCAAACTGCGTGCTTTTTGACTAGAATGGCGAAACTGGTGTTTGTTGCACAGCTGCTGAAAGTACGTGAGTTTGAGAAGCGTCTCCGAGTACGTGTCTGTTGCTAGGAGGTATCGACGTCCACACGTCCACCAGGGTCCCCCGTCCACACGCCACCACGTCCACCACGTCCACCACGTCCACCACGTCCACCACGTCCACCACGTCCACCACGTCCACCACGTCCACCACGTCCACCACGTCCACCACGTCCACCACGTCCACCACGTCCACCACGTCCACCACGTCCACCACGTCCACCAGGTGCACTACCGCCGCCAAGGCGCCACGGCGCATCCGTCGCAGCAGCGCGCACCAGGGCAGCCTTGTTCCACATAAAGAGCCAAGAGCCGGTGTGCGGTGTCTCGGCCGCGGCGTGCCGGCCCGCCGGCCTGCGCAGCCTGCCGGCCACGACGCCACATGCCCCTGCCCGTGCCCCTTCCCATTGTGCAGCGCGGGAGGGGGCTGCCTCCCCTGCCCGCCTGCCTGCCTGCCTGCCTGCCTGCCTGCCCGCCCTGCCTGCCCGTCCGGATGGAAGGCGTCCCCTCCTGCTGGAAAAGTGCGAAAATGGCGTGGCGCGTGGCGCGGCCGAGCTTTCAAAAGGCCCTGCGCGGCGGGCGGCGCGGCCAGTGCGGTGCTGTCATGTGCTAGAGCCACCGCCATCATGTCGGTGCTGTCCGTGGTGTTGGCCGGGTTCGGCGCGTCGGCCACGCGTCCGGAGATGCTCACGACGGCGCTGATCGTGGGCGCGCTGGGCGTGGCGCTGGTGTACTACATGGCGTTCCGGTGGCGGCGGCGACGCATGTACGAGCTGGCCGCCAAGATCCCCGGGCCCACGGGGCTGCCCGTCATCGGCAACGTGTTCGACGTGGTCGGCGACACGGAGGAGACGGTGCGCAAGACCATGGCGCAGTTCCACCAGTACCGCCCCACCTACAAGTACTGGCTGGGCCCGCTGCTGCTGGTGGCGCTCACGGACCCCCGCGACCTGGAGATCGTGCTCAACAACTACAAGTACACGGACAAGTCGCACTTCTACGAGGTGTTCCACCCGCTGGGCGGCCAGGGGGTGTTCAACGCGGCGGGTGAGCAGTGGCGGCGAAACCGTAAGATCATCGCGCCCGCCTTCAACTTCAACTTCTTGGTGCAGTTCGTGGGGGTGTTCCACGCCATGGCCATGCGGCTGGTGGGCAAGATGAAGGCCCGCGGTGAGGGCGAGAGCTTTGACTCGTACAAGCTGGTGGAGCTGTGCACGCTGGACGCCATCGCGCTCACCGCCATGGGCGTGGACGTCAACGCCCAGGACGACGACAACAGCGAGTGGATCCGCGCCATCCGCCGCTGCTTCCAGATCACCCGCGAGCGCCTCGTCAAGCCCTGGCTGCTGCCGGACGCCACCTTCTACCTCACGCCGTACGCGCGCGACCAGAAGAAGTGCCTCGCCGTGGTCAACAAGTTCGCGCACGAGGTCATCACCCGCAAGAAGGCCGAGTTCCGATCGGCCAAGGCGGAGCTGGACAAGGACCCCGCGGCGGCCAAGCGGGAGGCGGCGGAGCGCGCCGAGCGGACGCGCATCCAGGACGACGACGAGGAGATCGGCGCGCGCAAGCGACAGACCTTCCTGGAGCTGCTCATCGAGCGGTCCGAGAGCGAGGACGGCTGCGCGCTCACGGACAACGAGCTCCGCGACGAGGTGGTGACCCTGCTCATCGCCGGCCAGGACACGACCGCCACGGACAACTGCTTCAACCTGCTGATGCTGGCGCTGCACCCCGAGGTCCAGGAGGCGGTGCACCAGGAGCTGGTGGACATCATGGGCGACGACCCGACCACCTGCCCGACCTACAACGACCTGAATCAGATGAAGCACCTGGAGCGCGTCATCAAGGAGACGCTGCGGCTGTACCCGTCGGCGCCCTTCATCGGCAGGGACCTGGACCACGAGCTGGACGTGACCAACCACCGCCTGCCCGCGGGCTGCACCGTGCTGCTGGGGCTGTACGGCACGCACCGCCTGCCCGAGCACTGGCCCGAGCCCGACAAGTTCGACCCCGACCGCTTCCTGCCCGAGCGCAGCGTCGGCCGCCACCCCTACGCCTTCGTGCCCTTCAGCGGCGGCCCGCGCAACTGCGTGGGCCAGAAGTACGCCATGCTGCAGATGAAGACCATCCTGTCCACCGTCATCCGCCACTTCCAGATCCTGCCCGGCAAGGACTGCGAGAGCATGGCCAAGTTCCGGCTGCAGGTGGACTTCTCCATGACGGTGGCGGGCGGCCACAACATCCGCCTCATGCCGAGGCACAAGGGTCTGCCGGCCGAGATGCGGTCCCTGTAGACACAGACTGAGGGCGCTGCGACGTCCACGCTCTTGTGATACGTCCCCTTTGTGAGCAGGGACTCGTTCGTCATCCTCGTTGCAGTGCAGTGGCCGGGCCGCTCGCGTCAAGCGAAACCAATAGTGCACGCCGCGCGCCGCGCGCCGCCTAGCCGTGGAGTCGCTTCATTTGCAGTTCATTGAGCGCAGCAGCGCAGCCACACTGCGGTGGGAAAGGACGGCCGTGGCCTGGCGTGGCGTGGCGCGGCGCGGCGTGGCCTACGCCGCTGGAATGCCTCGCGAAGGTGAACGCGTCGCCGCTTTCGGAGAGTTCCACTGAGTTCCACCGCCGCCGCGACCCATCCTGGGAAGGCTTCGCTGCTTCGCTCCGCCAGGCTTCGCGCGCCTTTGTGCAGGCTGCTGCAGCCCGAGGAGGGGGAGGGGGGGGGGGGGGACTCTGCGTCTGCGGCGTTTAGGTCGGCTTGCGCCGCTTGCGCCACGCCGCCGCGTCCAGTCCCGTCCTTCGTGTGAATCACCACCTCGGGCCCTGCCGGCCCTGCCTGCAGCTCGGAAGCAGGCGAAGCTGGCCCAGGAGTCGTCGTGGCCCTGCGGCCAGCCTGCGGCCAGTCCGCGGCCGCCAGCCCACTTACCCACCGGATTAGCATGAGCAGTGTGCTGCCTGGCTGCGCCTGGCCGTGCCAGGTGAGAAAAAGAAAGAAGTGCTGAGCCGTGCCGTGCCGTGCCGCGCCGTGCCACGCCACGCCACGCCAAGGTCCCGCCGCACCAGCAGAAGCTCGAATCATTCACTCGCTCCGCCCGCTCCGCCCGCACCGTTTTGAGGCCTTTCTCTCGCTCGGCGGCACGGCTTTGTTCGGCGGCGCCGCGAATTGTGTCATAATGTTAATTCCGCCAATTATTTGGTCGTTTGCCGCCAAGGCCGCGCGGTGCAGCGCCACCAAGGCCGCGCCGCGTCTGCGAGGGGAAGGAAGATCAATAGGCAGTACGCACGGAGGCAGGCAAGGCGGGCAAGGCAGGCAAGGCGGGCAAGGTGATGCTGGGACGCGCGAATTACGCCTCGCGTGCCTAGCAGCGCTGATGATGATGTGCGAGCCCAGCCTTTAGCATTTTGCCTGCCGATCGAATTTAATTAGCTGATTCAGGGGAAAGGAGAGGGGATGTTAAGGTTTTGATGAACGGCTTAAAATTTTTGATGCAATTTCATTTGGTAATGTACGAAAAAACTATTTTACGACCATCACTTTCTATTTTTGATGCACTTTAACTTGCTGGATTTAAGCGGAGAAAAAGGTCAATTTTTTTGTGACCCCCATTTTGTTTTGTACCATTGATAGTTTAGGGTAAACGTGTTATAATGATGCTGTTTGTACCTTCCTAGTGATATTTACCGGCATGGGACGATGTCGATTTGACACCGACGTGTTAGTACCGCCTCGAAGTCGAATCGACACCGACCTCGACAACTGAGTAATTTTAACGATTTGATGTAAATAGACTTGTACCACCATGTATTAGATGCTAAGCTATTCTTAAGTGCGCGCGAATGTTTGTAATTAAGTTAAGGTTTTTCATATTATTATGGTTATTTTGCAAAATCTATTACAAGTAGTCATCAGTTTTGTACATAGAAAGTTGCGAAATATATGAATCTAATAAGCCTTTCTTGTCGCCCTTGCTGCTCCTCGACACAACGGAGGCGCGCGTCGTCTCTTAGCCAACGGAGAGAAAAAACGGCCGATAGAACTCTGCCACCACGCAATACACAGCGTTGCATTCTCAATTATAGAGTCGTTTTTTTTTGTCGCCATCTTTCCCCATTTCTTTTTCTTCTTTTGGCCAGGCCGTTGGCTGCTTCTTGTTGTGCAAAACACGCCGCGTTGTGTTCGGAGGCGGTGTTCGCTCACCGCCTTTCTTCCCAAAAAAAGGCGCTGCTACCCGCGCCGCCCCGCGCCGCCCCGCGCCGCCACGACGAAGGGCGAGGAGGAGGAGAGGGGCTGCATGCAGTTGGGAATAATCATCGTGGGAGAGAGGGAGAGAGGGGAAGTCGAGATTGCTTTTTTACTGCCCGGGCCGGTCAGACAGGCAGCCAGGTAGGCAGCCATGGCAGGCAGGAGGCTTGGCCTTCCCTGCAGCCGGTATATGGGTCAAGTTGGCTGCACCGCCGGCCAGCCGATGCGGCCGATGCCGGCGCGCCGTGGAATCGCATCATCCTTTACCGGTGTGCCAGCCTTCGACCTTGCCTTGCCTTGCCGCGCCTCGCCTCGCCTCGCATGCCGGGTCGGCCACGGCGGCCACGCCGCAGCGTCGGCGGGGCGTCCCGCGAACCGCCGGAAGGTGCCCGATGATGCCCGGTGTCCGAAGGTTCCCGAAAGGTTCCCGAAAGGTTCCCGAAAGGTTGCCGAAGGTGGCGGCGAGATCGCAGAGGCGGTTCGTGGGCAAGGCAGGCAAGGCCGGGCGCCGCGTCATCGCGGACCCTGGCCTAGGCACTGGGCGAGGCGCTGGGCGTGGCCGTGGCTGCCCGCTGCCGCTCGGCCGGCCGGCTCCACGGACAAGTTGAACTTGAGCGGCTGCTCTGCATCTCTCTGCATGCGGCCCGGGTCTGACTGTGAGGCCCCAGCGCCCCGCCGCGCGAGTCGCCGCGGACGTGCTTTCTCAAACCTGTTCCCGGGCGCGCGGGGCCCGGCGGGGCCGCGGCGCTGCGACGCGCGTTGCGCACGATGCGATAATCCGCGGCGGGGCGACGGGGAGGAGCGCCGCGTCGTCCTGGAGTCGGGGCTCGCGAGGAAGCGGAAAGGGAAACCGTCCCCGCGGCATTCGTGGATCCATTCATTGCTGCGTCCCGAAGCACCGCGAAAGTACCGCGAAGTACCGCGAAGCCATCCGGAGACGAAGTGCGATCTGCGGTCCCAATATCAATTTGGGTCGATTCATAATCCAGGCAGCCTGCTGGCCGGGCGGGCGGGGCGGGGCGGGGGGCGGGGCGGGGCGGGGCGGGGCGGGGGGGGGCGGGGCGGGGCGAGGCTGGGCGGGGCGGGGCGGGGCCTGAGGTCGCGCTCGCAAAACGTACAGGCAGGGCTCGCCGGCTCGCGCAAGAAAGCCTTTGTTTGAACACGATGGACGGCGACGGCGGCCTGCGCCCTGCCCGCGCCCTCCAGGCCGGAGGCTCCAGTCCGCTGGGACCGCGGTGTCCGTCCATAGGCCGTCTGTCAACACCCCACCCCGCCCCGGCCCTCCCAACTTGCCCATCAGCGTTTGTCTTATTGAAGTAGCGCTACACCGTGAGGGCCGTGAGGGCCGAGGGGGCTCACTGCTCGCTCGCCCAGAATCAGAAACGTCGTGTCACTTTCCTCTCTGGAGCGGGAAAAAAAGGATCCGCTCTTCCGGCGAGTTGGAGCGGCCTTTGGGCCGGCCTTTGCAGAGAGGCAAGTCCCGGGACTGGACAATGCGGCCGCGGCCGGCGCTGCTGGTTTGATTCAGCGTTCCCAGTGTTCTTTTTCCTGGAACGGCGCAGATACCCGGCCAGCCGCGAACCCGCGCGAACCGCGAACCACAGCACGCGTCGGCCTTTGCACCGAACCACACACCCACACGGCCCGCAGGTATTCCATGCTCCCCCTCCCCCAGGCAGCCGTTTTGCAATTTGGGCCGTGGGCGCGGTGAGCCTGTAATGCCCAGCAGAGCCTCCAGGGAGGCCTCCAGGGAGCAGGCCTCCAGGGAGGAGACCTTCAGGGCCGGGAGCCTGGGCGCGCTTCGGCCACAGGCAGGTCTTACTTACTTATTAGGGGTTCGACGCGGTTAACACCAGGCCCCGCCCGGCCGTGCCCCGCCACGCCCCGCCCCGCCCGGCCGTGCCCCGCCCCGCCCCGCCCCCCCCCGCCCCGCCCCGCCCCGCCGCCACGCCACGCTAGCTAGTGCCGGGAGCGAGTCTGCGCCATTTCCACTCACCTTGCAGCGGCGGGACTACTTTGAACCTGCGCAGGACACAACGGTTTATGGCCGCACCTAGTTTGGGGCAATGGATGCACGTGTTTGCCTTTACTTCGCTCGCGGGACGGGCACACACACACACACACTACTCTCACACACGGGGGGCCCGTCTCGAACACACACACACATACACTTCTCACTCCACACACAGTATGCAAGTTTCGCAATTCGGTAGTTGGCAGTCCAAAGTCGTACGCTTTTCTCCGCGATGTGTCTTGGAAATCTCTGTCTGTCTTTGTCTTCCTGGCCCCGCCTCGCCCCGCCTCGCCCCGCCTCGCCCCGCCTCGCCCCGCCTCGCCCCGGCGGCGTCTAGGCGGCGCGTAAGAGGGTTTGCCATGCTCGGCGCGGTGCCGGCGCGGTGCCGCGGTGCCGCGGTCACAGCGTCTCGGCGCGGGCTGCGCGGGTTGGGTCGGGTCGGACGCGCCCGGACGTGTTGTCCATGAGGAGTGCTGTGTCTTACGACACCTGCCGGTGGCGTGTGTTTGACGGCGAACCACCGGCCAAATTTCGGGCGCGGCACCCCCTCCACATCTCAGTCAAAATAACGTAAATGCACCCCTACAGTGGTCAACGCGATGGGGATGATCTCGTGTGTTCGACCCTGAACTAAGCCACTCATTATTTAAAAATTTGTTTTATCTTTGTTTCGTTTTGCAGCGTGGCTCCTTGGAACCTTCCATTATAGGCTCGCCGCTGCCTTGAGTTTTGCGATGACGCGGGTCGTTGGCCGCCGGTCAGGTGAGACTGATCCGACGGCACTGTAAGTGACAAGGGCGCCGCCAGCACGACGTCACGCCACGCCACGCCGCGCCACGACGCGCCACGACGCGCCACGACGGGCCACGACGCCGGCCCGGGGCGAAAGGTATAACGACGGTCTGACTCGAGTTTCGGCTCGGCGATGCCTCGGCGATGCCTCGGCGATGCCGAGCCGAGCCGCCCCCATGAATAGCAAGTGTCGGGTTGAGGGACCGGCGCAGCTAGTGCGACACGCGGTGTAACAACCTGACGGCCCGACGGCCTGACGCCGTGCTATCCTTTACCTTGGAGGCACCTGAAGGAAGACTGATTCCGAGAGTCCTTTTCGTCGCTCTCTCACACCTGGCCCAGACGCCTCATGAGTGTGAGAGAGAGACAGAGCGACGATAACGACTCTCGGAATGAGTCTCCCTCAGCACCGTGTTGCGGGCCCATCGCCCTCAAGGCCAAACGGCCGGCGAAGGGATTCCCCGCGAAGATAAGCAAAACCGCTACCGCCTTGAACTTAAAAAAAAAATATCCGTGATCGATGCGATGCCATTACTGTGCAGTGGTGCGACCTGATGGTCGTTGCTTCATGATGAAGAGGGGAAAGAACAACAGTCGTGTAACGGATTTATTTCATTTTATTTTAACCACACACAAGTTTTCAGTTTGAACACAGTGACAGACAGACATAAAGTTTTCGTCTTTTCGTAAGAAATTTGCTGTCGAAATGATTTTTTTTTGCTTTGTCTTCCTATGGATTTGCATTGATTTTAAGAGAGACCGAAGATCAGCAAGTTATGTACACAATTGAGGGAACAACTCATGCCTATAACTAAACGTTTACTAGCGACATACACTAGGAACTGGAGTATGTACACACGTAGGAATGCACAATATTCTACAACACACATATTTGGCCACGTAGCACCTCTAGTTATGCTGTAAGAAAGGGGGAAAACTACATCTTATTATGTTATTGACTTAAAAGGAAATCTATTCGGAGTTATTCTGAACAATGTTTTTCTTTACCAAAGTCATGAGACGCACAACTTTTTTGTCACGATCTACAACGTACCTAATTGTTAAAACACCGGTGTACATCAACGTAGTCAGTTTGAAGTTTTAGTTCCACTACACAGAAAACTACACAGAAAACTATACGGAAAGGTTGCGATTGCGCACTCGCCCTACAACCGGTAATCAACTACAGCTGTGTGAACAAGCAAATTATCGAAGACGCCCTCTCTCACGCCTTGTAACTTAAACCACGACACAGTTATACAAAATATAATAGAAATTTTGGGGATTATAATATTCATAATTCTTTAAGTTCAGTTCAGTAAAGTGACTGGTCCACACGAATTGTTAGTTAGTTTTAATGAGAGTTAAGCAGCATAGACCTAACGTCAGGTGTGTTTTTCTTTATTTTTTTTTCAAAAGCACCCACAACAGCTCTCCACTGAACAAGGCAAAAGGAATGGCCATTTCAACGAGCAGCCTGCACTGCGCGGCACTTTGCTCTTCTCAAATTGCTCAAGGCCAAAACGGCCAAAAAAACCAGATACATTCCTCAACTTTCTCATCAGGCCGTGATCCTGAACTCTTGCAGAGATTTCCTTACATCACAATATCAGTCAGCAAGTTGCGCCCGACAACGGGGCTTCCCAAGCAGGCTCTTAATAACAAACAACGTTCCCAACAAAAGAGAGGCCTTTCTCAAAAAAAAAAAAAAAAAAAAAAAAAGCTATCCTAGCAAGTCGCTGCGCCTATACGGTTTGAAAGAACAGCACGCGCTCCAAAAAGTTTATTTTAAGTATTTTTTTTCTTGTTTTTAAATATTTTTTCCTAACGAATGAAAAAATTGCAGGTGCCATCACAACGCTTTGCAACACTAACGATAAAAAGTGTTCTAAAGAAAGAGTGCCGAACCAGACCAGCTGGTTGCCGCGCAAGGGCCAGCCTCACCGAAAACATGAGCCGAAAAGGAAAGTGCGCAGCGAAGCAGCGGCTTGCTACAATGGTATCAGACTTGGTTCGCACAGCACAGCGAGTCTGTCTGACGGAGGCAGCTGTGGCAGGCACACTGTGGCGCACTGCGACACACTGCTAGCCCTGCCGCCGACTCTACAAGCCTAAAAGACGGGGGCGCACCGCAAAGGTGCTGACACTCCCTGTATCGGTAATGGGATCCAACGCGGCGATTTGAACGAAACCGAAGTGTTCGTTGACTGGAAACGTTTAATTACAATATTACAAAAACACACACACAGGAGAAAAGTTGGACTTTGACTCGACGCCTCTCTTCGATGGCACAAGTAACCCGCTCCGGTGCAATGATTGTAGAGGCATCGAATCGAAAATTCAAATGATACATCAACACTTAGAGCTAGAGTGATATAAGTATATGTACACAATCGCGTTGTAAGCAACCCCTACTGCCGACACGGCTACGAAAGCCACTCGTTTTAATCTTCGCAACCGAAACTCGTTTTCGGAAAAAGGCTCTGGCGGGTAGAGAACCACGCCAAGCTTTCAGTCGTGATGCGCCCAAGCCGCCGCCAGCGGCCGTAACCTCTGGACGGCGAGCATTCGACGAGACGGCGCGCTTCGCCTCGGGCAGGAGCTCGGCCGCGGTGAACGGCGCCCTGCTCGCCCCGCGCGCCCCGCGTCGCGAAGACGACCGTGACCACCGTGACGGCCACCAGGCCGCACAGCAACAAACCGCCTCACAGGATCTGGCAGGCCGACCCGTGCATCACCTCCTGCAGGAAGATCGGCGAGGTGGCGCCGAGGCCGCCGTCCGTCTTGCCCTCCTCGTTGAGGTCGAAGTCGCAGTCGAAGTAGCGGCTCTGCAACACACACACGGGGCCGTTAGTCCAGGCCGTCGTCCGGCGCATTACAAAAACACGCGCTGCCCATTAAGACCCCCGCCATCATCCCCCTTCCCTGCCCTTTTTGTTCCCGCAAAGGGAGAGCGGCGCCACCTGCGCGCTGCCCGCGCTGCCCGCGCCGACCGATTCCAACAGTGCCTGGCCGCCCCGTCTCCCTCGCACCCCTCCGGGACCCTCCGGGACGCCGCTCGGGAGCGACAGAGACGGAGCGGCGAAAACACTCTTCGGAACCAGTGTGCCGGCCGCTCGCTGACACCCCGAGCGCGGGGCGAAAAATAGAGCTGCACGAGCGCGCTGGGCGGGCGGGCGTCTGAAAAACACGCAACGCGCAGCCATGGCGCAGCCGGCCAAATATATACTTCTTGTGAGCGACGCGGGACAAAGTGGGCGTGGCAGCGTGGCGGGGACCAGGTGCGCGAAGGGCGACTCACCTGGCAGTCGAGGCAGCGGCAGTGGTCGTTCATCTTGCAGGTGATGCCCCACTGCGCGGCCACGGCGCGGTACAGCGCCTTGCTGCTCTTGTGCAGGATGATGGGGCCCGCCACGTTCACCACGTCCATGCTGTCGGGGTAGGACGACGACGACGAGGACTGGTGCTGCAGCGGCGGTGCGTGGCGCGGCTGCATGGCCAGGGTCTCGTAGCCGTCCTCGCGGTCCTCACGGTGCTGCACGTAGTCGTCGTCGTCGTCCTGGAAGGCCTGCCCCCGCATCAGCACCGCGGCCTGCGACTGCAACCAACGTCGCTGGTTCAAACACCGACTCGACATTTTTTTCCTCCCTCGCGCTGCAACGGCGCTAAGAAGCGCGCCGGAGAAGTAGTACAACATCCCCCTTCGGCTCCTTATGAACTCCCCAACTTTAATTGAAAGAAGCAGAGAAGGCCGGGAGTGTCCGTTCTGATTCTGGCCGGCGAGCCACGAGGGCGAGCGCGCCAGAGGGAGAAAAAAGAAACTTGGAGTTCATTGTTCCCGCTCCCACCCCCGGCGAGCCTGCAGCCCGCCAGTTTGCAGCCCCCCGGGAGGCCCCCGTCGGCCACAAGGCACACGGCCTGGACCAGAGTAAATGTAAAAGTGTGACCGCGGACGGCGCGGACGGCCCGGCCTTGGCGAGACAGCAACCCCGGCGAAGGCCGTGGAAGCCGCGACCCCGCACCAGAAGCCCCAAGCCCCACCCGCACTCACCTCTTGCAGGGCCTTCTCGTAGGACGGCGGCGGCAGGTACGGCAGCGACCCCGAGTGCGTCGGCGTGCCCACGATGTGTGGGTGGCCGCCGCCGTGGCCGCCGCCGTGGCCGCCGCCGTGGCCGCCGCCGTGGCTGTGCTGCGACGAGTCGGACGTCCAGGACAACGCCGAGCAGCACGAGCTGGTGGAGGACTGCTTCACCACGCCGGGGCTCATGTCTCGGCCTGCAACGCGGAGGGGGACCACTGTAAGACACACGTGTGCACACACTCTCTAAAGCGCCTGGAGCCCCAAACAACCCTACACCATTTACAACTCCTGGAACTCAGACAGGCAGACGCGGGCAGACCGACAGACTATGCAAAACAATGAACGGGTCAGCCCTGTGTCATACTCGATCACGCCGAAGCTGGGGCTCGGCACGGCGAGTGATTGGTTCCCCCGGCCCCTTTTTCTCCAGGAACCTTTCCGGCCTGCCGCCTTCGAGGTGCAGGCAAGATACTTTTTCAGCGCGAAACCTAACCAACCCCCAAGTACAGGCTTTGTGGCGTGCCGTGCCACGCCGCGCCCTGCCGGCCGCGCGGGCAGCCGTCTCGGGTTCACCCGCAGTGGCGGCAGGGCGTGGCGGGGCGTGGCGGGGCGTGGCGGGGCGTGGCGGGGCGTGGCGGGGCGCGGTGGCGTTGAATCCCTCTAAAAGGAGAGCCAGAGGCGCTGAGATGTATCGCCGAGCAGACGGCCGGTGGGGGCGGAGGCGGGGCGCGGGTGGGGCGCAGGTAGGCAGCCCCGCAGTGCGGTGCAAACGCGACGCCACAACCAGCCGCACCTCCGCGCCGACTCGCCGACGTCCTGAAGAATGACACGCCACTCCAGCCGCCTCTGCCGCCGCCCACGTCTTGGAGCGCGGAGAGGTGGACGAGCGAAAAAGGAGAAACAAAGAGAGAAAGAACCGAAAGAAAGTCACCAAACGAAATTGTGCGTCGGCGAATGCAAGCAGCTATGACGTTGACTCGGCGCAAACAGCGCGGCGCCGCACGGCCGCACGCGCGATCGGCCACCTCCGCGCGCCGAGTCACTGCCGCCACTGCGCACGACGCGCTGCCAAGGCAATGGGCCCGCGAGGGAGGCCAGGCACCAAGGAGAAGAGACGCCACTCTCTTTAAAATTTGGTTTAAAATAAAATAAAAAGTTGAACCCTACACGACCCTCTCCCCCCGCACTGGGGTTCGAGCCGCCGCCGCCTTCGACGCCGAGGATGAGCTTGCCGAGCAGCCGAGCAGCGAGACGGAGGTCTCCTTGATGCAGAGCAGCAGCGCGGTGGAAGTATCTCGCCATGTTCGGAATGCGCCCGCCCCGCCGGCCAGACCAATCTCGCCCCGTCTCGCCCCCCCCCCTCCCCTCCGCGGGGAGCAGCCCCTCCCTGCATTGTTCGCAGTCCCCCTGATTTAAGCATGCGGCACGCCGTGCTCTGTCTCTCTCGCTCCCCTCCGGGGCGGCCCACGAGTCCGACAGAGACGCAGCGACGAAGCAGTGCGCTCTGCACTCCACAGCCCTCAACGGCGCGGCTCGTCAGGAGTCAGGGCTCGTCATGCGAGGACCTCCTTAGCGCGGCAGTGGCAGCGAATGCGGGGAAGTGCTCTTGCAGTGCTCCCCAGGCTAAAAAAACCATGGTCGTCATGGTGAATTTCCTTGGTCATAGGGCTGTTCCCCATGGTGGAAGTTGCCATCCCCATGGTTTAACCGGCTTCCCCATGGTGGAGGTCGGACCATGGGGAGAACCACCATGGTGCGGCGTTCTAGACCATGGTAAAGGTCTTCCCATGGTGCTGGCCACCATGGTGGCGCTCGCACCATGGGGAATGTCGCCCTCCTCGTGCGTTGAAGTCTCCAGAGTTTATTCAGAAATTTTCCGTAACTTTTATATATTTCGAGATAGAGTGACGCCGACAGCACCATCGTGCGTAGCATCGAATTTTGATCGGTGACCGAGGTGCCTGATGCTCGCAAGGTATAAGCTAGACACGTCCTTCATTCCCCATGAGGCAGTGCACCATGGTGCGGCTGCCCCCATAGGTGCTCGCATCCCCATGGTGCACGCATACCCATGGCTCGCATCCCCATGGCTGGCCTCCCCATGGGCCTGAACACCATGGGCATTTCTCCATGGGCAAAATCTTGTGACCATGGTGAATCACGGATCACCATGGTCAGCCATCCCCATGGCCCAGCTCATGGTTTTTTTAGCCTGGGTCTGGAAGTCCTTTTGGACGCGGGGCCCCGTCCGTGTCCTGCACCGACCGGCCCGATGGCCCACTTCCGCCAACGCGATCCGATCAAAGTCCACAGCGGGGTTCGTCGGGTTCGCCCCTGGACATAAATTGATTGAAAGGAGAAATAAAAATGGTGAGGGGGGCTGCAGACAATGCTGCGTCTCGTCGAGACCGCCGCTGCTGCCTCTTCCGCTGCCAAGCCGCTCGCGGCGCTCGGCCCGCTACGTCCCGGTCCCTGGCAAGCCCCGGCAAGCCCTGGCAAGCCGTGCCTCTCGGCCTGCCGTGGCCGCCAGCGTGCCAGCGGCGCTGTGGGGGCGGCGGGGGCGGCGGGGGCGGGGGCTTGAGCGGCTCCATTTCCGGCCCAATATGCAGCGGCCTGCTTCCCCATCATGCCGGGCTTGCTCTTCCCGGAAGTGCTTGCCTGGAGGCTTGCCTGGCCGCGCCTGGCCGTGGCAGTGGCGGAGGCAGTCTGCAGCGGACTTCCCGGACGGAGAAGAGCTGCTGCAACCCCCGGGGGCGGGATGGCAGTGTCTGGGGAGGGGCGAGGGGCTGGCACTCGCGCGGTGCGTCCGACCACCCCACTGCGAAGGAGGTCTCTGTATTGTGTTGCAGAAACCTATCCCGTGCCGTATCAATGGGAGTGGAGCCACGACGGAGCGGCTGACGGCTCCACGGCGGGGCGGGGCGCGCGCTGCCACACCCTCAAGGGGAGCAGCGCAGCACCGTGTTTTGCAGCTGCCGTGTTACGTATTGACGCCGATCACGCCTGCCCCGCTCACCGAGCCCGTCGAACCCGCCCTGGTGGCGGCCCCGTCGTCGTCTCGGTCTGTCTTTCTATCTCTCCAATAAGGCGCCGAGACGGCGGAGTCTACTTCTCCCCGAGAACGCCCTGCGGCGCACCGCCTTTTTCAGAGTCATGGATAAATAAGCAGGGTCCCTGCTCCGCCCCGCCCCGCCCCGCCCCGCCCCGCCGCAGTGACACGAGAATAATGAGCAACCTGATGAGCGCGTGAGTGGGGCGGGCGGCTGGCGGAGCGCGGTGTGGCCGGGCGCCCGGCGGGTAGGCAGTCCCGTTGCGCACGGCTGGCCGGCGGTACAGCCCGCACTCCGGGCGCTAGCAGCCAGCTGCCTTTTGCAGTAGCGTATGGCCAGGGAAGCCAACGCCGTGCTACGCGAAAGAGCATCTTCTGCCAAGAGCATTTCCTCTATCAAAGGACTTTTTTTCTGTCAAGAGCATCTGTTCCACCCGTGAGCATTTTTCTGTCAAGTGCATTTCGTCCCATTTTCTGTGTCCATGCCTCTTTCTTGTAAAAGCGCAGTTTGTGGGGAGACAGTGTTCTTGCCGCGACTTTGTGGCCACAAGTGGGGACGTGTCTCTGTGCAGCACGGTGGAGAGCTGTGCCCTCAGCAGCTGAATCCCTCCAGGTAAACTTCACTCGCACGCAAGCTCGCACACCGAGGCGGTACACCGCCAGATGGGCAACAGCGCGAGTTAGGGAACTGCAGAGCTAGCGGCATGAGGGAAGTGTGTGTCCCACGCACAAGGGCAGATTCAGAGCCCAGTGTAGGGAGAGCGGGTGCTGTTGCAAAATTTGCCGCCTGATGGCTTCTATGTGTGACTTGCCTGCCTTTCAGGAGGACGCCTCCGGAATCCGCCCCTGTCCACGCACAGTGGCGGCGGTATGGCGGCATGGCGGCGTGGCGGCGTGGGCAGGCCGGCAGTGCCTGCGGCGCCCTGCCGAGGCGGAGCGCGGAGAGCGGAGCGGCGTATAGTGCTAGCGCACGTGCTTGCGGGGTGAGGGGTGGGGGAGTACGTAGGAGGCAAAGCCCCCACGCGTCAGCCTTTCAAACCGCGGTCACGCCAACTGCCACGTGGCACGGCGTGGCACGGAGCGTGACACGGAGCGTGGCACGGAGCGTGTGATGGGGTGCCGAGAGGGTCGCGCCTCTAGTTCGTCTGCTCGGAGCAGCGAGCAGCGGGTCGGTTCGGTTCGTCGGATCGTCTCTGATTAGCAAAAGCGCGCTGCTGGCCGGGCGGGCCTCGCACGCGGTGCGCGGTGCGCGGTGCGGCGCGTGTCTAGGGTGGCGTGGTGGGGGCTGCCTGCCAGTGGGCCGCCCAGGGCCCAGCCCGCCCTGCGCGCGGCGCGGGGAATCCCCGTAGCCGCTGCAGCACTCCAGGAGCTCCAGGAAGCGGCCGAGCGGCCCGAGGGGGTTTACGACGGCGCGTGCAGCCCCTGCTGCCGGCACGCCACGGCAACGACACGGCACGGCAACGCCACGGCCGACGCATGGCAGCGCCGGGCAGGGCACTGTTACGGGCGTTGGGCTTAAACCAGCGCTAGCACAAAAAGCTGAACTGCACCTCTTTCAGTCGTGTTCCGTCCGCGGCCGTCGGCCGGGCATGCACCTAGCCTCTCAGCAGGGGGCGGCCGGGTAGAGTGCGAGGCAGCGAGTGCCCCGCCGCGATAGCCAGTTTGAATTTCGGCGCGCCGATCGCCGATCGCCAATCGAAGCTGTGGTCAGGGCGGCACACAGCGCGCGGCGCACAGCACAGGACAGATTGGACGGCGCAATTAATCCCCGGGCACGGCGTCAGCGGCGTCAGCCCCCCGGCATCAGTACCGACACTGCTACCCCCCCCCCCCTCCCAGGCTTATCGGCTCCCTGTGGCCTTGCGGGGCGCCTTGCGATTAAGGGAATTAGGCCGCCATCGAGCGCCAGCAGCACAGCATCCAGGATCCTGGATGGAATCAGGCGGGACGCGGATCCCCCCCCCCTTCCCCCACCTCCC